CCTCGGAAGGAAGGTTGGGCAATCCTACTTCTGTAGTGATACTGCCTCGGAAACCCAAGGAGGGGTCGCTATGAGTCAGGGCTGACTCGACGGCACCTAACAACAACAACAACAACAACATGGGGCAGTTGTGCTTTGTCCTGTAGGGTTGCTATGAGTTGCAAATGCCTTGATAGCTGTGGGTTTGGATTTTAGTTGGTCTTCGGACACATTGCCAGATTATCAGAATGAAAGGTGTGGGGGTGAGGAGAAATTGAGCCAATGATTTAAAACAGTGGCTTTCAAACTTTTTGACAATGACTCAATTTTACATTACAACTGTGTACTTACAAGCATATATATGGATGCATGAATATGTCTGTGTAGGTGTATTTATTTATTGATAAAAAAAGAACTACAGTGTCACAAAATAGTACTTCCCCTTACTACCCGAGATGTGCTCTTGTTTTCTATTCCATTTTATTTGATTAAGAAAATGCTGGTTGTTGCTGACTGGATTGATTAGAAAACTCCTTAATGGATCATGGTTCACAGTTTGATTGACCTCGATTGATATATTTTATCTTTTCTAATATCACATGTTCCCGTATTTTATCCCTAGTTGCTTTCTTTTTAACTTAACTTCCAAGCGTCTTGGTTGCTCTTGGCCTTTTTTGGTTGAGATCTGTCTGTTTATATATAAAGACAAGATCATAGCATACTCTTAGAAAACCTTGTATTTCCATTTTTTGAAAATATAGATTCTGGTATTCTCTCCAAGAATTATCTCTGGAGTGTAACATTCTGTGATTGGTAAATTACTCACTTAAGTACTGACTATTAGTTAACTTATCTTGTACTGCACAATTGAGGATTTTTTAATTTTAAATTAAAGTTTCAATTCCCCCAAACTGAAAAACTTATAACCCTAATCTAACCATGAGAAAAACGTCGAGACAGACTCAAATTGAGGGTTTCTAGTAGCATGGATGCGTGGATATTTATTTTATGCTTTGGGTTATAATCCAGTACTAGGTGTTTCCTGCTATTTTAATGTCATTTTTTTTCAGACTATATCATAATTTTTTAAAATTCATGTTGAAAATATACACAGCAAAACATGAAACAATTAAA